CCTGAGACTGCAGCCCTTCAGGCAGAGAGTCGTTTTTTACGCTCTCGTTTGGGGGCCACCCAGTTCGGGGTGGCATTCATCAGACACTACTGATATAGCATAACACAAGCTGTGGTTAGGTCAGCAATGTGGGAAGACTTGAGTTGCAGATCGGGGTGGCATTCATCAGACACTACTATAACACAAGCTGTGGTTAGGCCAGCAATGTGGGAAGACTTGAGTTGCAGGAACACAGATCTTTTTCTTAATCTGTTTCGACTCATCCCTTCTTTAGGGTAAGCAGCAAAAGGTAGACACTCAAATTCAGTCCTAGCAAAAGGATCTAAACGACACCATAAATCGGAGTGAGATGTTTGACAGCAACATTAGTGAAAATTAAATTAAACCTGCTAGAACTTTCTGCCAATGAACAACACCAAGTTTGGCACATATTTGGGGGGCATGGAGGGGGAAGAGCAGTTGGTGAGAAAGATGGCCCAGAATAGCCTCAGAGAAGAGATTTCATCCCAGGGAACAGGAAATGATACATGCATCTACAAAGTCATCTCTTTGCCTCCTCTGCCGTGATGTCAAGGATTTTAAGTGAATAATTAGGTTGATGAGCTAATTCCATTACTGCCTATCACGGCAATTAATATTGCCTGTCTCTCCCTGCGCTGCTGTCTACAATCTACGCCCTTCCATTCTGTTGATTGATGACTCTTTGGGTCAGGACCATCTTTTGGTTTGTGTCTGTGCAGAGGAGCTGTTGTCCAGAACTGGCCATTATGGAAATGCCTAATCCTGTCTTTGTGGGGAATTCTGAGCATTTTTTTAATGCTCTTTCTCCAACTGTAAAATAACCAGAAAACATTTTTGTCCTGGAGATGCTATGCAAGGGCTAAGCACTGCCTATTAAGATTTATTAGGATTTTTTCATGGCCATGTTTATTCTTGTGAGTGACACAGGAACAAAAGCATAAGCATGATCTGTCCTACCAGAATAAAATAGCTAACTCTTAATATTTGGAGTTTTTTGCAATTTTTGATAAGTTTTAGTGCTGTGTCTAGAACGAAAGGGAGATCTACAAATCACTTTTATACACACCTTTTAAAAGCAAGTGTTCCAGACTTTTTAAGACAAAAAGAGGGAAATAAAACTAACAAATACAGAGCATTGATTTAAAGAGCATGACTTATTCCTCAAATACTCCAAGAAAGAAAAAGGAATATTTCCAAGCTATTATTTAAACAGAAACCAAGATATTAAAACACTGATTAGAAAAATATATTAGCAGCCATCCATATGTAGGAAATGCACTGGATGGTCAGTCCATTTTCTGAGCTTGTACTCAGATCTGCAGGAGTTGTGCTGAACAACCCACACTAAGGCCTCCTGCTACCGAGAGCAGCAGCGTTCTCCAGGGACACAAACCTCATCAGTCTGTGTGCACAGAGCTGCTGTGGGAGTGTAACTGTGTAGTGCTTTCCAAATCAGGTTCCCCCAGACATCTTATGATCTCAAACACTTCTGTGTTGGTTACAGAGGAGTTACCATCGTGAAAAAAGAGATGAGAGATCTCCCTCCCTCATATCTACCTTCCCCTACCTTTGCACTAAGCTGATTTCAAACCACTTCCTTGAGCATTTCTGACCCTGCAGTCAGGGTGCAAAAAGGATGGTCAAACAGGAGAGCTGGCAGAGACTGCATTTTCCCCAGCACTGAATACTGGCAAGGAAGAAACACTCCCAGAGCTAGTCCAGTGCTTCCCAGCAATGTCAACAAATTCATCTTTCACAAATGAAGTTTGCTGGCCTCGCTGGGGTGGGCTCCCACTATGGAAGGGTGGAAAGCAAGAAAAGCTGGAACAGGGAGGGAGGCCCAAGGTATTGGGAGCTGAACTTTCTGTTCTCACGGTAACAGAGAGAAAAAAATTACATGACCCCAAGCCCTCCCCTGCAGCAGCAGTTCTTCCCGCCTTGGTTTCCAGAGTCAAAGACATGTGAAAACGGCAACGCTAACAGGGCAGTTTTGCTGTCTACCTTGCCAAAGTCAGCCCTCCTGCAGCAGGGCATTTATTTTCCTTCTAAACCTAAAAATTTTGCTCATGTTCCAAGCTGCTGTAGTTGCACATTTACATTGTTTGAGTGATCTGTCCATCCTGCATGTTCCCACTTGGTTAGCTGACCGTGAAAGGTACTCGGGAACAAAGTTATTTGCTGCAAAACGATGCCTTGCTTTGGAAAGTCTGAGGCAGAGATGTGATCTGAAATTGAGTATCCATCCCAAAACAGAGACTTAATTGTCAGTGGTGGAGTCATTTGTATTACAGGAGCCAAAGCTAGAAAAGTAGTCTAATATATATACATTATTTATACTATTCACATATAAATCTATGCAACTTCTTGTACTCACAAGCAATATTTGGGTTTTATGCCACTTCTGTTCCATAAATGATTTACCGAGCAGAAATTTTAACCAAATACCATTTGCTTATAAAAAGCAAGTGATGAGCCATCAGATAGAAGTGCATTTTGGTGTATTTACTTACACCAAAAAAGTGATTCAGAGTTTTGTTTATGAAAACAAGCAAACAGGAGAACCTGGGGAGTCAACCATCTGAAACTATCAACTGTCCAGTTAGCTGCCAACTAGGAGGTGTTCATGGAGTACGTCTAAATGTGGCTTTAGTGTTGGGAAAACAAACCAACCAATCAGATCTTTTCATCAAAGGAAAGAGAGATCTCCGGGAAAACGAGGGTGTCCGCAAATACATATTTTTAACATCACACAAATCACAAAGATTTAGTGGGCCTTGCTTGAGTGTCCGCAAATACGTGTTTTTAACATCACATCACAAAGATTTAGTGGGCCTTGCTTGGGGTCAGGAACGTCATCAACTCTGGAGGTCCCTTCCCTCTCCACAAGGCAATATGTTGCTCTCTCCCTTGCCTGGGTTGCTTTGCCTGTTTATAAATACATCTTTTTCAAACTTTTGAAACAGAATTAACCTGAATTGTAAACTGTTCTATTCCATGTTTTATTCTGAATAATATGACCCTTGATATCAACAGACAGAAGCAATGAGAATATTCATGCAGTGTGGCAGAATTCCCAGGTGTCTCCAAATGGGAGTGGTGGGGTTTTCTCTGAAAGCTCACAGGCAGCAAACCAGGGAGTCTTTTTCCACTATGCAACAAGTCCTTCCTGATGATGGCAGTTTCACAAGAGATGGAGGGGAAGGTGTGCTTGCACACAGAAGCAAAAATATCAAATTATTTTCCTGTTTAGATCAGTCCTCTCCACATGTTAAACATCGAAAAAAAGGGCCCCTTTTTAATGCAGTAAATAATATAATGACCATCAAATAAATGCTCTGGATTCATCAAGTTCCTTTGTAAGTTTCCAGAGAAGGTAGTAACACATAACTGAATGTGGGTGGCATTTCAAATGTACCACAGTTGAGGACGCTCCTCCCGAGATTAGGCTTTTCCATTTTAGCATGAATGTTCATGCTCCTGAATATTCATTTTAACCCTTCTCTAAGGTCCCTATCACCCAACCATTTTAGCACCATTGTAATTAGAGCCAAGCCATGGAATAAAGATAGAAGGCTGTTAAGGAGATTCTGGATATCACCTGGATGCAAGTAAAGCCTGAGTATCTATTTCATTAAGGGAGCAAGAGGCTTAGGCGGATGCTGAGCATCTATTCTGTTTCAATTGACATTCCGCTAGTTTACTCTCTGAATGGACAGGAAGAGAAATGCAACATATTTGTAGTTCAGAATCTGAAACCCCTGGCACACCTGAAGATTTATTAGTTCAGTGGTGACTGGCTGGGGATGGGCATGGCAAGGGAGATCCACAAACTTCCTGTAACCATTATGCTTCAGTGATGAGTGGCATGAGGGACAGATGGAGTTCACCTTGAAGACAAGGACACTGCCTCTGTATAGCAAATGACTTTACAAAAAACTTGAGAACAGAGACTTCAAAGGGCACTGCACAAGGTGAACCTATTCTATTGGACAAAGCAAGTGCTGTAAAATCTGCATGGAAGATGTGATTTTAATTTTCCTCTTATGGTAAATTGCATTGCTGAAAATGTGATCACCTGTTTCCAGGTAGCCTCTTTTCTTACATATCTCTCCAAACAACTGTAGTGATTAACATACCAGATTTTACTGTGAACAAATGTTCAACCACAGTAAATCCACAGGCCCTGCAGTTTTGAGATGCATTTGGTCTAAGTAGTCAGTGTGTATGTCATACGTGCACTTCAGAATCATTGCTCTGAAGCCAAGTTTTCACAAAAGCTCTTAAGAAAAAGAAATATCAGAAAATATCCACCCCCTCACTTCTAGATATCAAAATACATCTCCAGATTTTCAAGAGCTCTAAAAAAATACGTCAGCAACTGCAGATTCTGAGAATTTGAAAATTTGTTCCCAATGCTTTACAACACACCACATACAAATCTTTTAATATGTCTCTGCCACTCAAGTTCATAGATCATCTGTAAGTCATGTCAAATTTTCTTTCTTCGGCAGCAAAGCAGAGGTGTGGAGGTATAATACACAACCCTACTAACATGTTGCTCAGAGAAAACTGGTTATCTTGATGTCATATTGACTTAGCCTATTGGATATAGCTGGTTATCACAGATCCAGTGTTATCCTCCTTGGAAAAAGGAGACGGCTCATTAAAAAGGACCAGAGTCAAAGCACCTAGATGTCTAGATAAACTTAGGATGTACAAAGGGACAGATCCTGTAACTGATTGATTTTAATGCAGGCAGAGGAACAGTGCTAGTGAAAGGCATCCTCAGATAAACCATGCAGCAAACAGGCCATTGGGAGCTTGTTGCCACCTAGCATTTGTGAGGGTCACACGCCTGCTGCACCCAGACTGCAGCCCCTGACAACAGTATGAACAGAAGTGAAGTGACTCCTACCGCTGTCCACAATGCGTGAGCCTCCTAGGAGCTCCATCAGGAGATGGTCAGAGGTAAAACCCACCTGGCAGATGAAACCAGTAGATGAGCACTGCCGAACCCAGAGACTGAATTTCCTCTTTTTCCTCTTGCGAAGCTCCCTCTCTGTGCACGTGGCAATGAAAATAGGATCCTCATCAATCAGGGGCTCATGTAGTACCTGCAGTTTGAAAGAAGGAGGGGAAAAAAGAAAAACAGCAGAGTACACAATTCCTGAAGAGAAATGGCACATTAAATTCTTCCAAGGAAAAACAGTCTTTGCATTATTTCTGTGCATGTGAAGGAGTATATGAAGGAATTTTCCTCATATGAAGGAGCAGCACTATTTTTGTTCAATGCTTCCACAACGCTTCCTCAAAAACCCTGGCCTGACCAAGTACCCTCCTTTGTGGATGGCTGCTCTACATTTGGCTTGCAAGTGTGGCAAGCCACAGCTCTCCACCTCTCACCATCAGCTCCAGTTCAAATGCAGCAGAGTTTAAAGGAGCTGGCGTGGGGGAGGTAAGCATCAGTGGCATGCTCCTGCCAGCTTCATCACAAGCTCAATCCTGTTTGGGCAAAATGTCTTCCACCCAAACACCCCCTATAGTATGTAGCAAGGGGTAGTCCACGTGAAAAGAGGGAGAGAAATTAAGGGAGAGAAAGTATTTTTTTTTCTACCACTTGGGATGATGAAGAGACAAGGACATTTTTCCACGTGGCAGCAGGCTCTCTTGCCTCAGAAACTGAAAAATTTGACAAAAGGAGAGAGAGAGAGAAGGAAAGAGAGAGAGAAGGAAAGAGAGAGAGAAAGGAGAAGAGACAAGGATAGAAAAGGACTACATAGCAAATAACAATTGGCTGTGAAAATGAAACTATTTTTGCACTCTGAATTCCAAAGATGTAAATGGCTCTCTATTGCTTATAACCATTTCATTACATTTCTCTCCATTTAATGTGTACCAAAATTGTTAGGTTTTATGCTATGAAACACACTTGTAAAAAAGTGCTATTATCTGTTCGCAGGCCGTATTCATAATATCTTTAAAGACATATGTAAAACAAGTCAGATGGGTTGTGCCCTAAAGGAGTGCATTCTTTTCCAGTTTCCAAGTCCTATGGGAACTATATCAGATACAGTTATCCATAATGCAAAGGCTGTCACTCTTAGATGAAGTCTTTCTGTGTTTGCATGTGCTACTTCTGTGTATTCACTCTCCACAAGAGCACCTCTCCAGCAGCCCAGTGACAAAAATGAGAGCAGGGCTGCATTAAACGTGGGAGCTGTGTTTGCAAGGGAGATGTGGTGGGTAAGCAGCTAAGCACCACCCGTGTATGCAGGAGGCCAGCAGCTGCTCATCATGTTGATTGAACATCACTCTGTCAGCTCAAAATAGGCGTCCGTGCCCTCCGCACGCGGTGGGGCTGAACACTTTCATTTAGATGCACTCCGCTTCTTCACAGCTCACAGAGCATTCACAAGCCCATCTGAAAGCACTCTTGTGAAATGCACAAATTATACACCAAAATGCAGATGTAAGCAAGGAGAGTCGCACACAAAACTACTTGTTCTTAAATCTGCAGCTGCCCTATTACCCCACTGGAGTCAAACCCTGTGCCTTTCTCGAGACCCACCTGAAACACTGCCCTTTCTTTCTGAGTATCACCTGCAGTGTTTTACAGTTCTACCTCAGAGTTTGGACAGTGATTTGCAAATATTAATCTTGACCTTATTCTTTCATGGCTTTCTGCCTCTTCCCTGCAGAGGGAGGAACATACCCCTTGGGATGGAGTTCTACACACTGTTAAGAACTCCTCAGCTTCGGAAAGGTCCTCTCACCTCCAGATCCGGCCAAATGGTGGGGTGCAACTGTTTTAATCTCCTCCACTGTTGGATGAGGAGCAGCACATAAAATCCTCTTTTACCCTTTGCCCATAGCTCAAGCTCCTTTTTTTTTGGTATCAGAGTATCAGCCACAGCAGCTCTACTGCATATTTCTTATCCCCCACACTAAGACAGGCTCAGGCCTGCTAGCCTTCAGTTTAGAAAGCAAAACTGTATTTTGAAAACCTTCACCCACCCTCCTCTTGCCCACGCTAAGCCCAGTCTTCCTGCTAAGCCCCCTTCCCCTTTTCTCCTGCCCAAATGTTTAAGTTCTTTCCATTTCTCTGCAAGAACCCCCTAGTAAACTGCTGGAAAGAAGGAAAGAAAAATGGACAGAATGGAGCAGAATTTGCTCTTGCTGCTAACAGATAATGTTGCATCTCTCTCTCAGCATCTGTCAGCACACAGAACCAACAGTGAGACACTGTCTAGCGTGTCTTACTTCTCCATTCTAAATCTTCTCAAACTTCTTTACACCTTGCAATCCCACACACTGTACTTTCATTACAGTCCAAGCAGGCTGATAGGCAGAGACTTGAAACACTAACTATCCTGTACCTCCACTGCCTTAGATAATAAACCAACACATGCCTGAAAGCTCATGTTCACTTGGCTCCGTGGCTGCTCCTCACACAGGCTGTACCTTCAACCTGGCCCCTAGAGGAACTGCCTCAGCTTGCTCTGGTTTTCAGTAGATCCCATCCAGCTCTGAGCACAGCCCCTGGGGTAACTGGACCTGCATGCACAGGGCTACTCAGCTATTTCTGCAGCAGTAGCTTGCATTTCTGCTTCTTTGCTTCAGAGCTACTCTTGTCCAAACTAAAATCTCTGCTGGTCTCTGACATCTCTGCTCAGATTTCTAGCTGTCAGTTCTGCTTTGGCTATGCTACATTTGAGAGCATCTCCCTTTTCTTAAGGCAACTTCTTACTATCTCCTTTTTTGGTCACCACATACTCCTCCTCCAGCAGATCACTGATCAGTGAATCTGAATGTCAGTCTTTTCCTCCAACTCCTTGCAAGGTCTTCAGAGCCACACAGTGCCTGCATTTTCTATGCTTTCTGAGCAATACATCTAAAATATATACCTTTTCCTATTCACCCACATAGTAAAGTTTTCATCTAAGGTCACAGTCATTCTGCAAGTTTTCCTTTTGGCCTCAACATAAGGCAATCCTACTCTTCTGATTTCTCCTCTAATTTCCCTGTCCATCATGCTGTCCACATCATTTCATTTTATCTCTCTCAGCTAACTCTCCTTCTCTAACATATCTAACATCCTCTCTCCTTACTTTCTGAGTCTTGCATCATTTTATTGACCATCCTTGTCAACTTTGAAAGGTTAAGTCCCACCTCCAACTGAACCATGAATTCAGGCTCTTCTGTCCATTTGTTCTATCTTCAATCAACTCTTTTTGAAGAAAATATCAGTTCTTACCATTAATGCTAATGGATATTAATTACTTAAATAATTTGAAAACAGCCATAAAGTTTCATTGTTATTTGCTGTCAAACCCCTCACAAAATCTGATTTTACCCATTAAAAAAAATAAAGATCCACCACAAGATATCAATTTACTTTGTTACTGAGTAGTCTTGCTGTTCCTTCATCTCTCTCTTCTTCCATGTCTTATACTTGGCTCACAATCTCTCGATAGTAATGATCTTTGTGTTATGCTCATACAGCCCCTAACACAGAAAAGCATGGTTTATGGCCAGGAATGCTAGCCTCAAATGAGCATTTTGAAAATCAGGAAATTGAGACACACAGGTATGAGTTCACCAAGATCTTATAATTCCAAAATGCCCATACAAAATCAACATTTAATCATGAGGCCATAGAGAAGCTGAGATTTGATTCAAATGCCATTCCCCCTTTACGTTTTCAGAGAAGCTGTCATCAGGTGCCATGAGCTGAGGTAGGAAGAACTGTGCTGAAACTGCTTAGCTGTTGTGTGTGATACCATTGAGAATGAAACACAAACAAGCCCTTCAGTAAGCCGCCAAATTAGAGCATCATGCTTTTGGAGCAGGAGATTGGAGCTACCTCTTTGTTTTTGCCAGAGAGCTCCTTGCTGCCTAAGGTAAAGATTTAAGTCGGCAGCACTCATGTTTTTAATTGCTCCCAGTTCATATTTCACTAAGTACATGCAGAAATGTTTGACTTCATGATGCCGAAAAGGTGATATTTTGTAGAGAGTGGGAAAGAAATGCAAGTTGTGTTCCTGACCTCTGCCATTCTGGCCAGGGAAACTACAGACAGCAATCCTGTCTAGTCGCATCCCACTGACAAGAGCGTAAGTACTCAGCAGGCGAAGGAGGATTTGTGAGCAGCGATGCTATTTTCTTGAGCTCCTCTGGTTTCCGCAGCTCAGTTTATATCCTTGACAGGTGAGTACCCTTGAATTTGCTGCAGTATTTCACCTGAGTTCAAACAGGACACTTTCGCTGTTTGCAGGCTGTCGGCTCTAGACAGTAGCATCCTCACAAAGCAGCAAAGAGAAGACTGATTCTAGAAAGTGAACCCACTTCTGGACTCCACTTCTTGTGGCTCAGGTACAGGCAGCAGTGATTTATATCCCTGTCTGGGGAGCAGGGATAGGATCCACAGAATACTCCCATCATGCTTATATAATCTAGGTCAGAATACATTTCTTCTACTTCTGAAATTGAAGCTAGCTCTGCTAATACACAATTATATTGTCCTGTCTTTTCAGTGTGTTCATAAGCTAGAGAGTAATTATTTCCTTCTGTTTGCTCAGTATATTTAGCAAAATAATTATAACTCACTAAAACGTATGTTTTGTTTTGGTATACTGGCATAGTTCTCTCTCTGCTTAGCTTCCTTTCACAGGAAGTATGATGTCATTTTTGCCTGCCTATTCCCTTGGTTCACACAGAGGAAAAGACCCTAAATATTTTCTGAGACAGAAATTCCATTTAAAGAGTCTCGCCTAGTTTCCCCAAAGGAAAATACCAGAAATATAGAAGAAATTATTGTGAAGGCAGATGTTGAACTGCCTGCCTGACACTGCCTGCTCTGTCCACAGCAGTCAGGTGAACAGGGCATTTCCCTACTTGCGTTCTGTGAGCCCACATTGCCAAAGGAAGTGGTAGTAGAAGGTAGTAATGAGTCTACTTGCAAACCTCAACAGCCTGGCAGCATTTGACAGGAAGAACCCTGGGTGACTTATCTTTACAAGACCTTAGGGTATAAGGGCCGGAAACTCTCTCCAGACAAGCACAAAGCTGCATGCTGCAGGATCCCACGGAGGCCTCACTTGAGCTTTCTTCCTTGCGTGGTCTGGAGCCAGCCTAAACCTGGAGCACAGACTGAGGCTCAGGCACAAAAATTTTGGACACCATAGATCTCATGCCTATAATACAGACATACCTGAAGCAACAAAGTTCATTTTTGAGCACAGAATTCCAGACCTTCACTGACCACAAACAGCTGGGGCTCTTTTCCCAAAATGCTTTCAGAGGCAGCAGATCCGCTAACCCATCTGACTGGGTCTTTTCCCTTGCTCTTTCCTTTTGTATTATTAGATTACTATTTCCAATCTCACTGGGCCTGACATTCTGGATTTGATGTTTGCTGCTGTCGACCAACCTGCACCCCTGGCAGTTTCCAAGGATGTGTCTTTCCTGCTCCCTCAGGCAGATGGGGTCCACGTCTCTCGCCACACGCCCTGTGCAGCCCTGGCTGATGCCACCCACATCAGCGGGAGGCACAGGGCTTCTTCCAGGAAGATCTCTGGAATGTCCCCAGAAGGCTGCCGGTGCTACACTAGGCTATTTTTAACAACAGATTCAAAACATTTTTCCTTTCTCAGAGTTATTTTTGAAGAAGTATCATAGTGGTTTTTTGTTCTGCTCAATATCCCTGAAACAAGCTGTATAGAAATCACTGATGTAAACACTGTAAAGAGAACAGGGGAGTGCAGGAGCAAGGAAGAGAATTCGACTGTCAGGTTTTTACCTCTTCCTCCCCTCCTTTTCTTTGAAGTAGCATCTCCTTACTAAGCTAAGCAAAAGTGTGCACTTTGCCTGTGGAGATTTAGATGTTCTGTCATTGTAAGCAGGAGACGATGGGTTTCATCAATTGAGTTTGCAAACCTTGTTTAGGAGGGGGAAGGGAGAAGGGATATACATGCAAATCAAATTTTGTCCTCTAATGGATTTGCACTCTCAGCATGTCCCACAGCCCACCATTATAAGCATTTACATTAGACACAGTGATCACATTTCTGAACCCTTTATCTCCTGCCCATTGAAGTCAGTGGCCATCAGGATTAGATTTCATATCTTAATGAGAGCTAGGTCCAAATAATATCATGTTTTTAACTGCCTGTTTCGTCTTGATGTAAATGCAAGTCGGACTAAGTGAGAACACTCCTGCCTCTCTTCTCCCACATCTACCCGAATAGCTTTTTGGATAGCTGCGTTGCCCTGAATTTTACAGAAATTATTTTTGTTGTCTAGAAAACAGAACTCTCTAATTACTCCCTGGTTACTCTCAATCCTATTTTTAGGCACACTTGAATTGGTAAGAGGTATCTAAGTTGACACTCATTTTATATAGTGGGCATAAAACCTGATGCTTTGGAGGAAAGATAGTAATAGAGGAGACAGCCAATGCCCTTTCCTGACAACTATGTAGAACTAGTTTACATTCTGAAAACTGATTAAAAACTTACTGCAAGCAGTAACATATATGTCACATTCCCCCTTTTCTTTCCAGACTTTTTAACATGATCAGTTGCAGCAGCTCCAAAAGGAGCATTGTAGTGCTTCCTACCACGCAGTAGTGGAAGAAAGCTGAAGTGGCCTATGTCGAATGTTAAGAAAGAAAAAGAGATTTATTTGCACTTCAAAATAAATATATTCAATAGTTTCTATACTTAGTTCTTTACATTGTTAGCCCAGTCTATGGAACAGATTTTCTATAGAACGGCTTTCTACTGCACACTTAATTGTACCTGGAAAATTCAACAAGGACCTGTTCACTTTTATTTTGGTAGCCTAGAAATATTTCCAGTTTATTGGCATTCTGTTTTAAAATACACATGGCAATGATTCCTTCTACTGCAGCATCACCCATCATCAAAACTCAGGACTGGCACAGGGCCCAGGCCGTGCTGCCGAGAGCAGCTGACAATTGCAGTGAGCAAAGACAGCGACCTCCTCTGCTTATTTTCGCTTTACCCCGTCATGAGGAGGTGGCTGTTGCTCAGCTGCTGCTGCTGCTTGGGCTGGGCTGGACATGTGGCAGACACCGACTGCTGGGGTTGGGGCTCATCCCTCCCAGCAAACACAGACTCTGCCTCCAATCTGCACCTTCCAGCGGGAGCAGCTACAGCTTCTCTGCCAGGCCTGGCTGTGCCAGCTCTGCGCTGCCTGCTCTCCCTTGCAGGAGCAGCCTGCAACCTCTCATTTGCAGAACAGCCAAATTCAGCCGTGCCAACACCACTGAGAAGTCTCCAGGCTTGTTTTGACTACTAAAGCAAAGCAGCTACAGTTCTGAGAATATTCCAGGTACCTGCACTGCAGAGCTATAAGTCAGGTGGTGCCAAGCGCCTGCATAGGATGGTGCCACTTTCTCTCACGCATCGTGGAGGCCCTGCAGTCTCGCTTCATGCTGTGAATCCTTAGCTCTTTCTACAGGCAGCTCTGTGCTCCACATTCAATCATAGCAAGAAAACTTCGGGCACACAGTTCAGATGCTCCCTGGCAACAGGGTAACTCTTACCTGGGTTTGTGAAGGTCTAAAAGCAGAGTCAAAGCCATTCTGCAGAGAGTCCAGAAAAGGCTGGATTTTGTAGAGGCCATGCGTTGTCTGGCTCGAGCGGAAGGCCACAATGTGGAAATACTTCAAGATCTTCTCAAACCGTGACTGTGTCATGATAAGTGCAATGCTCTTGTTGCTGTAGAAGCCACTACTCCAGATGCTGAGAACAGACTCACAGTGGTGGATGCTGGTTGATATCACATAGCCTAAAAAGGCCTTCATTTCTGTCAAGGTGACATCAATCCAGGCATCGTCACTGCCAAACCTCTCCTGGTATTTCTTGGCATACATGTTGGTTTGGACCACCATGTTCTTTAGTATGTTGTCAGGAACAAAGAGTTGAAAAAAGTCCATGGCACTGGCAGTTAAGGGCATTTTTCGTGTTGGACCTAGGACAAAATCAGAAAGGGAAAATCATCTCAGTTCTGATCATCACAAGCATGTCTGCTCTAGGAATTCAAAGCAAGACTAACTTGAATACTTGACATAAATTATCATATTCTGATCTGAATCAACTTCCCAGTCACAGATGTAACAGAAACACAAGGAGTTTCCATTCCATTCCATTCAGTCATGAATACTTCACATCAATACTCAGCTTTAGCTACCAAGAGAAAATGATCTGGGTAGACACAACCACGATACTTAAAGCAATGACCATCAGGTCAGTGAGGGACCTCAACAGTGAGGATGCTTAGAAAACCAGGCCAAAGTGAGGAAATGTCAGCTAATTCCTTTGAAAGTGCATCCACTGTCTAACTGATATCACCAGGAAATTCCATGATCTTTTCTGTCTTTATCCCTTATAAGAGAATATAAGGGATAAGTGAACACACTGAATAAGGATAAGTGAGCACACTGAATAGTTGTTCCTTCATTTTGCACACTCATTAACTCCTAAGAAGATTTAGAGGAAAGAAGAAGGAAGAGGTTTGTGAGGTAACATGTTTAATTTTTCCACATACACAGTGTCTGCATTTCTTCCTCTCAGCAACTACTGTGGCCTTTTTTCCTAGATGGTCTTATATCTAAAATGTATTAAAGTAGTTCCTGTCATGCATTTGTCCAGAAGCAAGGATATCTGTGCTATCCAGAGTCAATCTTGCCTCCAACCCAGGTTGCATAATTGCCTTGCACTCGGATACTGATCCCACCTTCTCTTTTTTATTTCAAATTCCTGCTCAGTTCACTATCATTAATCCAGCAGCTTTAATATCTGCTCCTGCAGAGTCTTGCAGATCACGTCTATGCACTTCAAGGTCCTGTATATCTGCCATCACATTTTAGAGCCTCGTTCCTCATACCCTGAAATCCACAAGAGACGGCACATGCTAACAGAATGAGTCAAAAAGATAATGTGGCTAGTTTTTCTGTCCCACATCAGATGGAATATTTTTAGAGGGAATATTTTATATGCATGTGGTCCTCTTTCTCGTATAATACAATAAATCTTGCAGTCCCAGGCTGTCATTACTCTGTTTTTTTTCTACTGAAATTGTACCTGCTCTACAGTTTTCAAAGTATTTGGGGGGAGAGGGAAGGTGGGGGGCACAAATGTTTGATAGCATCATGTCAGTGTGAAAAAGTTATGCAGTCAAACAGCAGATTACATTATACTGAATTAGGAACATAATTAGGAACATAATTAGGTACGACCAGCCTGCTGTACCAGGTAGACCCAATCCCTACAGCCCTATCTCCCATCCATAAGCTAACCAAACACCATGTTTGATGCCCACCGTGGTAGTGCTTTTGTCACTAGGCAAAGGCTGAGGGGAGAAGGTCATGTTGTGCTGCAGGAGCTGTGCCACTTACAAACATAGAAATTAATACACCAAGAGGGGCAGCATGTTCTTACCCATGGCTTTAACCATCAGATCAAGGGCAATTCTACATCCCTCTTACAAAAGATAATCTGAGATCAAAAGCAAGACAATGGGAGCTGGATGCAATAAATACTGTGCGTTAGTTAAACAGAATCCTTTCAGTCTCACTTCTGTCCCAACAATGTCTTCATGATTAGAAGCAGAAAGTGTATGTCACCTCACTTGAAGTTCTGCCTAATGGCAAAGCGCCCTCCTCGCACTACATGGCTGCTTGGATCTCAAGCTTCAATTCTAGCTGAATTAGAGCAAGATATTTGGGATTCTGTGATTTGGAACTGCAAGGATTCATTAATGTGTGCATCAGGTCACATGCTTTTGGACACCCTGTATCTCAGTTCACTTGCTTAGTTACAGCAACTTGCAGAAATGCTGCATAAGCAGTATTATAGGAACTACAGAAATACTGAGAGTGGACTCACTCTTTGGCCTTTATATTTGGGTATATCTTGCTAAGAAGGAAGAACACAACCTATTAGAACTACAGCCAAAAATGACACCAAGGCATTAATGTGATAAATCTTCAGATTGGAAAGAGTACCAAAACAAGCAAACAAACAAACAAACAAAAGTTTGTTCTGTATTTCTCAAATACAATAGGGAAAAACATATATAATAATAATATTTTAAAAATATTTCCCATTTCTAAATTGTGGGATTAAGAAACTGGAAGTAGAATAGTTCAGTTCAAAGTGCATTCCTCTATATAGCAAGAAGAGAGTAAAAGAACACCACAAAAAAAAAAAAAGTTCTAGATAGAACACAGCAGAAAATTTCAGCTTAAATGATAAAACGTTTTCTTTATCAGGTGAAAACTATGGGGCTAGAATAGATACACTTACTTAACCTTAACTGCTATTCCAATAATAAAGCCAGTTACAAAGACTTCTTTTGATCAGGAGATTTATATTCTGCTAGCATGCACTGGACTGGTAGAGCTGACATAAAATGCTCTACAAATGATTGTGTATGAATGACTTACAGTACATCACTTTCTCCTTCCCCACAACTTAATCAAATTTTGACATGCTATGAGATATATGGCTTTCTGATAAGCAACCGCTGCGCCAAGTGCCTTCTTGCTTATATACAAAGTCTTAGCAGCAGCTACTGAATTCAACTCTAGCACTCGGGTAATTTACCTGGTAGAGCACAGAGGTAGATTTTAATTTCTTGCCTTCAGAAGCAGAAGCTGGGACTAGGGTAACATTTTGAATCTTCCCTGCCTCAACCAAAACACATCCATAAAGTGCTAAGTCTTACAAAGCGAAGTGTGCTGGTCTTGAGACAGGAGGCTATGGATGATAAGCAGCTGCAGGACTCCATTTTCTGGAATTCAAGAGCAGTCAGGAGCACAACATGTTAATTTTGTATGCAGTTGCATTTTCAATAGCTGTATGAGTTTACCCCAAAAAGAGATCACAGAAAAGAGACAAGTATACTGGATAGGACACTTTCTTAGCCAGCAGACCTGCTCCATTTGCACAGAGAATTTCCTATGTGCTCTCCTGCTTTAAATAAACAAATATACAAGATCTGTATTCTATTTGCCATGCAGAACTCACACAGCTCTATGAGAGTCAAATAAACCACTTTCTGGCTGAAACATCAACCCCACAGTTGACTAAATATGATTCTGCAAGCCTGTGTACAACCCTGTTGACTTAAAATATCCTTCATTGGTGGAATGAGCACCTTTGATTCATAGTTTACTGAGATGCAATAAACAACAAAACTCAGCTTCTGGAAGGGAACTGATTTTTTTTTAATATGCATTGGCTTCTGCACAGTTAATGACTACTCTAAAACAAATTATTTAAACATGACCCTCAAAGTATACATGCATATTCCATATACAGAGCAAACTATGTGATAAGTTTAAATAGTGAATTTACTCTTTTCAAGGACTTTTACATTAACTTATATGGAACTTATCTGCTGATATGAGTTCCAGATTCCATAGGTGCACCATTTACCCTTCAAAGCTTTATGTGGTCAAAATTTTGACTAACCTCCCATTCTCTTTTAGTGAATGAAACTTCAGTAAATTCTGTCTTAAGTCATAGTTTGTGGAACATGGAAAATAACACAAACCTCCTCTGTTATGATAGTGCACACAGGCTTCCCTCTTCCTTTTCACCCTCTCTACCAGTAAAAGCTAACATATGGAATCAGTCACAGTTGCCTTGCAAGTCACTGCTGTTCCGAGGTCGTGTTTGGACCAGGCTGGTTGCATCTCTTTTGCTCTCTCCTAAAGCCAACCAGTGCAGAGCAACACCCTTTACATTATAAGAACAGAGTCACAAACAATAAAGGCAGTAAAAGCAGGGCAAGCATTTCCATGGCGGAGCTGGGATTGGGAGCAGAGGCTGGCAGCCAGCCCGCAGCCTGCAGGCAGGCCTGGCTCAGCTCTGCAACGCTGCTAGCACTGCAGCTGCCGGGCTGGCCCAAGCACCCAGCGAGACCACAAGCTGCGTGCTCAGCTCGCAGGGAGCCCACAAAGAGTTAGGAAGAAGTTCAATGCACCAGGCCTTCGGGCAACCCCCATGCACCCTCCTGGAAGCCCCAGGCAGTCTGTCAGCACAGTCCCAGTCATACTTTTCCCCCTGCTCCAGTCTCTCCAATGTGTCTAGCCCTCCTGAGTGACATTTCAGAAAAAAACAAGACTCTCAAGTGAACTAATTGCTTTTTCTTTGCTTGCCCAGTTTGCAGGACTAAATAACTTGACTGCATATTTTAATAGGTTAATTTATCCTTTTCCATTCTTCCAGTTCTCATTACCAACCTGTTATTTAGTAGATCAGAGTTCAGAGACTCCCAATAAAAGATGCTAAGTTTGAAACCTACTTTAATCAATCAATGCTTAGAAGATAACACATAGATCTTAAAGAGGTCAAAAACATTGTCATTTGGGGCAGGATAAATCTGATGTGTAAGAAAAAAGGGAGAATTAAAAAAAATCTCTTCTTAGTCTGCTATGTAAAAGACTTACTGCTCTCATTCAAATTATCACTGAAGTTCATTATATAATATCCTGTTACCTTGACAGGCCCTGATAACAACACATGTGCCAATTCAAATTGCACAGAGCTAATCCAAAGTCCAGAGTTGAAATTAATTAATTAACTAGCTTCATGAGCTAGGCATGTAACTCCTGAATCAGTTATTACATATTAGTGGTGGAAGCATTAGTTAAGAAATCGCCAATTTGGAAGTCATACTGTTGTCCCTCTTCAAGCAAGACCCTGATAATTTATAGACAGACACTAAGATCACATTTATGTATTCTATACAGACACAGATCTGAGAAACAAATCTGCCCAGAATCTGTTATCTTCTTGTAAACAGGAAGTATTTTCTCCTTTGACATATGGCATAACTTTCAAAGACAAGTGTTTGACAAGCCATTTAATTCCTTCATCCTAAATCCAAGCAATTAAGAGAGTGTTTGAAATTGGTAAGAATTTATCATTCCAAAAGCATACCACATGATATTTGGGTCTTATT